GGGGGGGCAGCGGCCGCGGAGAGCTCCCCTTTCTCCCCATCCTCCCACTGCGCTCGTCCTCGGGGCTGGGGGGTCCCTGTTCATGGACTTTTCCCCCTCCCCGTCAGGTTCCCGGATCCCCGCCGACAGCAGCCGCTTTCAGAGGCACTGGGAACCCACACGGCTCCTGTCGGACCCTCGGCTCCCTCACTGTGCCCCTATAGCAGCTTATATGTGCGCATCTGTTCCCTATACAATAGCCCATTGCTTGGGTAGAGCGGATACCCAATAACCCACTGCATAGGTATGTAGGATGCCATATAACCCATTGCATAGGTATAGCGGATACCAAATAACCCACCGCATAGGTATGTAGGATGCCATATAACCCATTGCATAGGTATAGCGGATACCAAATAACCCACCGCATAGGTATGTAGGATGCCATATAACCCATTGCCAAGATATAGAGGCAGCCCAATAACCCACTGCACAGCTATACGGGCTATATACTAACCCCCTGCCAAGCTCTTGGCTGGATAACAAGCGGTGCCGGCGCCGGCGAGGCCGGGCCGGCGCCGGGCTCCGTGCCTGGTGCTGCGGGGCGGCGGCCGGTTCCAATAAACCTGCTCTGCCACCTTGTCCCCATGCGTCCCAGGAGTGTCCCCATCAGTGCCTGGGCACAAAGAGCGCCGGGGTTGCGTATCCATCTGTCCATCCACCCCACACTATCCGTGGGTACAGGCACCCCTGGCGCCTCCTTGCCTCTTACTGCTCCCCCCCCTCACCATTTTGGGGACAGTCGGTGCCGTTTGGTTCCTCCCGGTGCCAATGGTGGTGCCGGAGAGTGGGAAATGCCCGGGAAACCATAGCGGGGCAGGAGGAGCGCAGCCGTTTCCTTCCCTTTTCCTCCCAGGAGTGTTAAAGGGGAGGCTGCTCAGCGCCTGCTGCCTGTCCCTGCTCTCTGCCCACCCCAGCACGGCCTGGACACCGGTCCTGCTCCTCTGGGCTCCATCCCGGCCTTCCCACCGGGGCCGGGAGCTGCTCCGGGTAGAGGAGCCCAGCGCAGGGAGGGGAAACCCTCTGTTGGTGCCATCTCCAGGGCACGGTTTGCTGGTTTGGCCGAGCAGCTCTGGACCCACTCTGGGCATCAGCAGGCTCTGCGGTGGCCCCAGGGGGAGACAGGGGAGCTTCGAGACCGGATTCAGCCTGTGCAGCCGCTGTTGGTCTGATTTGGGGAATTTGCATCCCTGATTCTGGAAGAGCAACCCAGGAGCTGGTGTTCCAGCATGGCTAGGGACACCTGGGGCCTGGGGACAAGGAACTTGGCACTGTGGGACCGGGGTATGTTGCTGGGGTGGCCATGGAGTTGTGGGGATGTGGGGATGTGGCCATTGGGACGGGCACCATGGGGCTGGAGTGGCCGTGAAGCTGAGAACATGGGGACAAGCACTGTGGCGCTGGGGTCATGGGGACATGCGGGAATGGGACAATGGGGACAAGCACCATGGGGCTGGGGTTGCCATGAAGCTGAGACCATGGGGACAAGCACTGTGGCACTGGGGACATGCGGGAATGGGGCAATGGGGACAAGCACCATGGGGCTGGGGTGGCCAGAAGCTGAGGTCATGGTGATGGGCACCTTGGGGATGGAGTGGCCATAGGGATGGGCATCGTGGGGTGGGATGGAGCCATGAGGCCGCACGAAACCCTGAGGTCTCCCCTGCCCCGTGCGCACGGAGGCCCCGGGAGGCCACATGAAAGTCCATCAGTCCACATTGGCGCCACACGTGTCACAACTGTCGCCCGTTCTCGGCTGGGCCCCATTGTGCCAGGGAACAGGAGGATGTCAGGGAAGAGGGGCTGAGACTCAGTGTCCCAGCATAGAAATGCTAATGAGGTGCTAATGGGATGCAACTCGATGGTAATGAGGCCACGACTTGCTGTTCAGACAGCACCAGGGTCAGCTTGGCGGGGTCCTAAAGCTCCTTGGAGTTCAGAGGGGTGCTGCATTTGTGCCTGGGAGCTGTGAGATGCTACTGAGATGCTAATGATATGCAAATTTTATGGTAATGAGGCCACAACTGGCTCCTTAGAAGCCCCCTTCTTAGCCCTGTTTTCTGCCCAGTCAAGCAGTGAGGGACAAAAGTGGTCCATGTGGAGGGGCGGGGCTTGGGAGGGCAGGGGGTGGAGCTGACTGCAGGGGCGGAGCCAGGGACAGCAGGGCCGGGACCAAACAGCAGTGGGTGGGGCTGTTGTTTAATGTCGTCTGGGAACTGCAGAGTGATGAGATGCTAATAGAACGTCAGTGATATGCTAATGATAGGCAAATGAGGCCAGCGCTTATGGGTGCTGTGAGCGGGCAGGGGCGTGCTCAAGGCGAAAGGGGCGTG